AAGAGGTCATTCGTGATATCATTAATGGTTTAACTCGTCGAGTACCGGTTTTATAGACACAATTAAAGAACAATAGGTCGCGGTCACCGGTGACCGCTTGGTGTTCGACAGTTTAAAACATGACATTTGCTCGCATCGAAGGATTTTAATTATAAATATCTCTTCGGTATTAAATGTTATGCTTTCTGTTTAGGGACAGTTTCGTAAGAATATGTTTAAGTATCTTATCAGACATAATATGTTACTTAAAAAAGTAATAAAATCAATAAAATATACCTACAGAAATAAAGAATTACATAGCTCAAATTGTATTGTTTTCCGCAGTTTTATAAATAAACGGTTACAAGGAAAACAATCCTAATATTCAGTAGGAGTAACGATCGTCTAACGAGACGATCCTTGAAAAGAGGTACTTATCACTTTGGAATATTGATATTTTATTTTATGTTAACATATTCAGTACCTGATGTTATTTTCTCGAATCAAATACTAGGTCTAGTTGAAACTACTCTAAAGTTTATAAGGGCCATGCATGACGTACCTAGTAGCATTTTATTTTGCATATTCAAATGCATTGTGAGCACCAGTATGTATAACAAAAGGTTAAAACAATGACTATCATATAAGTTCTAAATCTGTACCAGATATTTCTATTTCACAATTAACAGGACAAAATTATTGAAAATTATTATGTATTGGTACATGAGGTACCAATGCTCTTTGAATAAAAAAAAAATCCCAATGATGTTCTGCAGTTTTGATTAAGTATTCATCACACATGGATATGTGTTATTTGCAATTGGAATGTATTGGCTTAAGGCTCGATTTCCATTAGCAGACCAGTGGCGTAATAATGTTAAGGCTAGTTGATGGTATTTTATTCTAAATACCCATTAAATGATGCTTATACGTCAAATACACTGTTTATAAGAATACCAAGTACCGCAAGCATTCGTTTTACATTTGTATGTACATATGTATTAATATATATGATCGTAGGTTGTTTCCCCAAAATATTCTAAGCAAAGATTAATAATAATTACTTGCGTTGGTTTATTCGCTAAGCAATAATTAATCATTTGCATCGTCAATGTTTGTGATTTATTATTTGGTGTACGCTGTAGGTTGATGCGATTAGGTAGTTCCACCAACACGCTTGTCGCTATTCTTTATTGTGATAATGTGATCAAAAAAACCTCGGATGTTAAAATCTCGTAAAAACGATCTCTTGTCGTAGAAACAAAAAACTGCAACGGCTCAATAAAGATCTCATATTATTGAAATATTTAAACATGTATCTATAGATAATCTTCTACCAGACGGCAGAATTGCACGCTGAGAATAACAGCAATGAATGCTAAAGAAGTTAAAAAGTAGAAGGACTTTAATGCGTATTTTCTGTATTCAGTATTAAGCTTTGGTTAAGGAGTGGAGGTACAAGAAGTCTTCTATGGTACCTATTCATATTTTGATTATGAAAGTAAACGTAACAATAGACCAAACCCATGTTCTTTTTATTCGAACTGAACATAAATTAAACTGGTGGAAAAATTCATTTACTATTTAAAAGCAACCATCTAGCAGTCGTCTTCGAAACAGGCTGGTCATTGAACAGAGCTTACAGAGCTGAGTTTCTATGGTTCGTTCTATTTCTGATTCAGCGTGACTTCGCTGAATTGTTGAGCCGTAATCATGCTTTGTGTATTGGAGTTTGTTTTAGAAACATTGCCTGTTAGTGCGATCGCACGTGCTTGTTTTGCTTAGCAGCACGTCCGTTGATATATTTATAACTAATGGTAAATAGGTAATTAGTTTGTGCATTTTGTGTCTATTAACTAAGTTTTTCAAATAACAAAGTATGTGTGGTTTCGACTTAGCTAATTCCTGAATTCATAGTAAATCCAAACAAAACCAAACAAGTCGTATAGTTATTTGGAAACTACATTTTCTTATGATCCGACTGAGGCATGCAGTCATGACTGATTACTAATGATTGTTAAGCGCACTCGTTGGGTAATTACCAACCTCAATAGTTTTATCACGTCTAATGTCTACATGTATTATTGACTTGCTAGGCTTCTTATCTCTCTGCCTAAGCTCAGACTTACATAGTATAGTTAACGCTAACAAAATTTACACCATTCCATATTGTGTGTAACGTTGAAACCATAATTATAGGTACCTACTATAGAAATAGAGTGTGTATGTGTGAGATTAAAAGTTATTCTTGTTTCAAGATTAGAAATTTTGTGACACTTCAAAAAAGAATAAATAAAAACACACTTGTAAGTAAGTTCAGACAATAATTGCTCACTAAAGTGTCGGGCTATGAATATTTTACGAATACTTGTCACAATGACCCATACTTATACAACATGTAACTTAAATAACGCACATCCTCCTCCTCAGAATCGTTAACTAAATCGATTTATATAATTTTTAGTATAGGTAATTTTTTATCCCAAAAATAATTAAAACTACGAAAATGATTGTCATTAACCCTGTATTGTTAAAACAAATCGAAATGCGCCGTAAGTCAAAGCAATAAGACTTTTAAAATCGCAGTTTTATTTGTATTCATACAAATTCTATCATTCAATACAAAATAAAGAAAAATAAACCTTATGAAAAGACCAGTAAGGATGCATATACATGTTAATTAAAAATTTAGTGTATGTATTATTATTGTAACATAATATTCTAATTGGGGTGTTTGAGGGTGTGCGTTAATTACGTTACATGTTGTATGTATGCCCATGAAATATTGTTTCATACCAATAAACAAGTGATTTACGTCTTCCAAACATATTCGCAGGCTGTTGTGCCTCATGCAAGTAACACAATCATTGGTGTGTTTCAATATAAATTACTTAATGAATATGGCAGCGGCATGGCGAGTTCGTCGCCATATGTTTTGATTTAGCTGTAGGATCGTTGCTAAACAGACGGTATCAATTCAGACCGCAGCACAAGTACTCATTTAACATAACCGTACGTCGTCGGTGCATGTGTATAGCAAGCAAACCAATCATTAACCTAGATGATTGATTTGATTGAAAAGCAAAAGTATGGTACTTCATCCATGGCTTTTCTTGAATAAAGTGATGTAGTATGTTATCTCTGCACGAGTTAGAGCACCTGTTTTATTTCACTTTATTGTATTACATGCGCATAGGCATCTTTACAGTATCTTTCAATATGTTTACGTTTCAACATATATTCCCTACGTACTGGTACCTCAATGAGATTGTCGGTTGTAGCCTGCTGAAACAGCGCTCTCATACTCTCATTTCATACTCATGATGTCTAATATATACGGTTTCTATACATCGTCACGGTGCGTCGTAATTCACACTATACATGCAATTAACATGTGTTTTATTTCTTTACAAGTTTGATCAGCTCTAATTCTCCTTGAATAGAAGTTGTTTCCTTCAAAGAATTCCTTGTCATTCATTAGTCTTACTTACAAGTTACCACGTAATCACTTTAAAACGTTTTTTGTTCATAATTAGATCCAATAACTTCACTAAGGTCTTCTAAAATTATTTTATCGAATTGTTGGTTTCAGGACCCTTTTTGGGTTACATTTCCTTACAAAGATAAAATTAGTATTGAAACAACGCCACCTGGTGATTACTGAGTAATAACATCACGTCTATATGAGTGCAATGTTTACGTTTGTTCGCTTCAAGCTGCGCCTAGCGGTAATATATACCAAGGTAATGTTACCAGCATGCGCATGCTAAATACCCGACGTCGACAACATCCGTTAGATGGCGCTTGTTTGTTTACAAGTTACAAGAGCAATGTTAATTCTCATTGTGATCCTGGTGGTCAATGCCGTCTTTGAATTAAACTAATGCGCGCTGAAAAGCTCGTTCATTAGTAATTACAGTATCACCATTAATATACATACCTTTGCGCCTTTTAAATTGTTGTCTTGTACATTTCGCAAGGTAATATTAACTCAACCGCCACACAAGCAAATTGAAAGTAATGTTTTTGGTGACTGCATTTATAATAAAATTATAGTTATTGCAATAGTCTTTCCGTTCATAGAAAAGACTAGGACGGGAAGCACGTTGGTGTTGCATGCACCGAAGCGAGAGGTTGTGCAAGGAGAGACGGTCGCAGGATTGGGGTGAGGACACGCATGCGCGATGAGGCGGTCGATGGCTGGACCTAACTGAAACATGCGACAAACACGTGTTCCCTGCTCCTTACCAAATTGTTGATTCCATGTGCTTGAAAACAACACCATCATGTTAGTATTCTGACGTTTACGAGATTATTTAAGGATTCATTATAATTCTCATGTGGAGTACGCTTTACAAATAAGCGATAGCTATTTATTTTTTCAAATCATTATTTGTACCTTAAATGTACTTCCGCTAGTAGCCGCCTCAATGCTTCTTGGATCCAGGCCGATGAACTAGACAGCGTCACTTCCTTTCATGTTTGCTAGTTAGACTGAATCGTATATCGTCAGTAAAATCTGTCTGTACTTATAACTTTTTCCTTTTCTTTTGCTATCTATTCGTTGAAAGTGACATTTGGCTCGGGTCCCGTTGGAAGAGAAAGTCTTTATAGATAGGAACTTACATTGTCAGATGTTTTATTTTTCCATTGGGTAAAATTAAGGTATATTGGGTTAGTAATGTCCTAGTATAATCTTATAAGAAATCTTATAATAGGTAGCTGTTTAGATAATGAATTCGTATTTTAAGATATCATCATCATTTGGATCATGAAAACAATAGCCAATCAAAACTGGTCGGAAAATGCAATACTTAGAGTGGGGTTATATTATGTTTTGACCTTGACAGAGAGAACGGGTAACAATGCATTTTCAACCCTCTGTTCTGGCGGTGTTATGGCAATAATCCTGAGATGTAGTGGGGTCGGCAGTACTGGCAAGCCCCGACGACGGAGGCGCTGAGTGCGGGGCGCCGTACCCGCCCGCGCGTCTCGTCTGCACCGCCGAGCTGTCAAACCGCCTCCGTCGGGCACCCGGCTTGAACGCACCGGCATATCGCCGCACTAATTCGCGATCGTAACGTAGTACGCAGCCAGTGACTCAGTGTGTGATTTTGTAATACTCGTATGACGGATAATAATTTAAGGAGATGAACGGCAGCACAACGACGGTGAATGGCAGTGCCGTCAATGGGACCACAGGTGCCCTAAATGGAATTGGTGCCGCGCCACGTACGGCTACACTTGGGACTCCCAGCAGTTATGCGTATACTTCCAGCGGTTCGCTGCTAGGTCGCAGTGGTACTGCTAGACCAGTTCCACCGCCGACACTACCTAAGTATAGTGGCTCCTTCAGTGCGGGCAGTACAACTGGGCTTAGGGAACGAGACAGAGAGGGAACTGGTGGATCTCACCGCCTGGCTAGTCTAGAAAGATTAGCACTACGGCAGCGTATCATTGAGCAAAATTCTAACAACCAAGTGTCCGTTACTTCTTCACTCAATGCACCACCGAATGGGCCTACCTCTGCTACCGTCACCCTTACCGACACGGCAACGGTAAGTGTCAGAGTCCCCTTGCCGTTTTTCATGTGCACCCTCAACGTGTCCCCTAATCGTAGTTAGCGCACCCCGAAAAGGGATGTGTTATTTTAGTTCATTCCCTCTTATGTTTTATAAAAGGGATTTTGATAGTTGTTACATCTTATTTTTTATTACACTTCAGTGGTATTTAACACTAGCGCAGGTGTAGTATACCGAAATATGTAATAGATCGTGAAGATGATGAACCCATATGTAACGTGCAGCAAGCCTGAAACTAGTTTGTTTACATTGAGACATATCGATACCATAACCACACTGATACTTAACCGTGTCAGGTGTTGTATTACATAAAACAGACAATACATTAATAGTGCAGTAACTTTACTACTCTGTATTTGAAATGCAGTTTTATGACAATAAATAAAGATTAAAATAAGATTATGTAAGCGAAATTACAAAAAATAATTATGAAATTAATATAATATTTAGTCGGTTTTCTACAAGTATGAGTTGTTAACATTCGTAAACTTGGAATTCTTATGTATAGGCTATACCCTTAGGAAGGGTTAAGACAAACAGTACAAATTATACGATAGCAAATAAATGAACAATTCTCAGTCTCCGAAAGTTTTCCCCGTGATTCATCTTCGAATGGTGCTTGTGCTCGTGACCGATCCCAACTGTTTTTGCTGTTTTATGTTTTACAGTCCTGGGTAAGGACATGGTGCCAACCTATTCCCACGCAGTTCCTCATGTGATAGGACTGGTTCGGAGAGCGGGAGGGGTGTGCGGGTGACTGACCCCTGTGTCTACAGGGTTAAAAATAACCTCGTGCAGTGGCGGACATTCTGTTCGCATGTGTCGAATTTACTAAACAGACATTAACTGTTTCACGGTCGCACCCTGACCTGAAAATTCTTGGAACATTAAATACTCAAATACGTCTCAGAGGCATATTTCTTTTTATTAAAACCAACTGATGATTTAACAAAAGCTAAGTATACACTTTAAAAAATAAATACAGCTATACAGTCTTTGTATTAGATCAGTACAGACAATAATAATGTAGAGTTTAGACCTCAATAGTTTATTCAACTGTTGCGACATAAAAGGATCATTCATGACTTGTTATTCCTTCCTATGTTTGAAAAGGTTTCTTTATCACTATGTTTACTCAACTCCAATTTCTTGGAATTATTATCAGTTTTGAAGTTATCGCGGCTGACTAGTTGGGTGCATCGAGATCGAAGTACCTAAATAAATACTTAATTGCCACAGCTTGGGATATAACGATGGTACCTATACAGTACACTTGATTAACCTTATATCTGTGCTGCAGAATGGTTGTCACTACAAGGCAACATTGTTTTACGAAACGATTTTTTTCATGACCCGGCAAAAGCGGTTGGGGCACGTTCTCCTCTTGCATTGTCAAGCCCACTGAATAAGAAGTTAAGCACCATTGAGTGACCAATATGTTTTCAACTTTGATACAATCGCACAAGATTCATTTTACGTTTTATCGACTGTTTATTTAACCCTCTTTGGAACGAACGATTGCTCGTTGCCTTTGTGTGTCTGGTGGGAATAAGTGTGACGGGCTGGATCCTTTTGCGTCGTCTATATAGATATAGTCATAATTAACTCAGCGGTACCTGAGTTTATGGAGGCCTTTACACACGTGGTGCTTTATTTTTAACCGAATTTATTCTTATCCTTCGTAACAGTTGTTATCAGCGTTGAAGTAGCAGTGAGTCTAGTGAGTAATTAAGTTAAAGTATACATAATAATATGAATAAAGATAAACGTAGGTAAAATAGGTATAATCTTGTTTATATTTTATATTGAAGAACTTGAGAAGTTCCAAAAATACTTTTTTTACAGAAGTATACAGAAGATAGCATACGTTTAAATTGAAATGGAGTTGTAATAAGCATACTAAAGAGACATTTAACTGATAAGAATATTTATACAGGTACGAGGTAGATAAAATAATGGTAATAATATCACCCTGTGTAGGATAGCCTTAAACCGTGCGCTGGTGTGGCGCGCCAACCGGCAGCCGGTATCGCTTGTAACTTAACCTCAAACTGACACAGTCGTGAACGGTGCTTCATATTACAACAGTTTATTTGTGTTCAAATATTAGCAACTGACGTTAATATTGTAGCTATTAATTAAAAATTTCCGCAATTTGTTCATTTAAATAGTGTGATTGTGATCAATTTGTGTTTATATGGCAACAGTCGAACAATGGTGTTAAATCGATGCGGCCAGTGGTTCATAACAACTAAAAAGACTTATACAATGTAAAATTGTGACAGTAAATATTTGTTGTTTAAGGTATTTGTGCTAATAGTTAAACAAGTGGCTTTTTCATGTGCGTGGTATATCTGAGAACGTAGTGTACATAAAGTCTGGCGTCGTTTGTTTTTTTGCCATCTTCAACCGTTGGGGGAGTATTCGAATGCAGGCAACATGGAAAATCGGGCACTAAATAACGTAAACGGGCATCAAACTAAATTAACAAGATGTTCCAGCAGTGTAGGTGACAGTGGAACTGATAAAAGTAAAGTTGGATGGACGAGTCCACGCGATATCTGGAGGAACTTGTCATTGCGCAGAAAAGCTGAGGTAAATACGACGATAACAATGTTAATTATATCACACTTAAAATTCCAGTGATCAAGCAGACAATAGCTCCTTTAGAACTAGTCCTATCACTTTGTAGGTACTTACATGTTGTCGCCATCAATTAATACCCTGTTGCATTGCTGTCTCAGTATAAATAAACTGCTGTTGATAAGGGAGTCACTTAATTGAACCTTTGGAACAGAATGTCGTTTGTATGCAACTCATATGCTATCCGTTTATATTATAGCTGTCAATGCGCATTGGATTGACTTCCCGTGTCTTCGTGCAGAACAGATCCAAGTAACTATTTCCTAATCCCCGTTGATTCTCGGGTCGATGACTTGTCAATAACATAATAAGACACAATCGCACTCGACGTCTTACTTTTGTGTTTTATCTTTGTACCAGATATAGATACAGTTACTTTTAAAGGTAGACAATGATTCAACTGTCTGTTTTTGACTAAATCTTTACCTAACTAATAATTATTGCTACATTACTTTTATTTATGAGAGTGACATTGTTTTTGTGAAGCTATACATTTAAAACTTAGTTTAAACAAATAGGCATTAATTATAAACAGTAAAACAACTGCAATTAAAAATAAAAATTACATACTTTAAGGTATACAAAACAAACTGGGTTAAATTACAACAAACAAACCATTTTCTTGTAATTTTAAATTTGTAGAGAAAACTAGAATCTGATCACTTGACGAGAAGTGATTCATTCATAAGTTTAAAATTAATAGGGTCACACTAAAAGCGGACCAATAAGGAAGGGTTTAAAATTAGTCGTCAAAGGTTTCAAGTTACCACCACGTCAAATTAGAAACACAATCACCACATTATTCCGTGGTGATCGTTATATTCCCATTCCATAATTTAATCTCCTTTTTCCTTTCGGCATTAATTTTCTTGGTATATATTAAAATTTCATGGGATACAAAAGCCGTGTTATTTTTAGAATACCGAACCACGTGTTAAGCGCTAACTGTAATGAAGATCTAATTATTATTTTAAATGTATTACTTTACTACGATAATATCTCGAACGTCGTCTCGTTTGGTGCCAGTTTTATCACAAATGTTTCCATTTCTGGAGACTGGAGACTCGGCTATTTATACTTTTTTTTTTTTTTTTTTTTTTTTTATAATTGATGGGGCGACGTTTGACCACTATCTCACCTGTTGGTAAGCGATGATGCGGTCTACGTTGGAGCACGTCGTCCCATAAGCAACCTATTCACTCGGGCCTTGAAGACTCCCAGGTTATACCCTTCAGGAAATACAGACTCTGGCAAAGAATTCCACTCTTTAGCAGTACGCACAAGGAAGCTTGAAGCGAAGCGCTTCGTGCGTGTGGGCGGAACATCTACCATGAATCGGTGACGCTTCGCGGATTGTCTTGTGGTACGATGATGGAAAGGACTAGGGGGAATCAAGTTGTGCAATTCCCCCGCACACTCCCCGAAATGTATCCGGTAGAAAACCGAAAGGCCTGCAACCTTACGCCTGTGTTCGAGGCTTTGAAGCCGAGCCTTCACAAGCGCATCATCGTCGATGAGCCTCCTGGCACGCCTCTCAATGTGCTCTAACGCGTCCAGCTGATATTTAGCCGAGCCGTCCCAAAGATGAGAGCAGTACTCCATACAGGACCGAACCTGTGCTTGGTACAGGCTCAGCAATTGTCTCGGCGTGAAGTACCGTCTCACCCTCCATAGGACACCCAACTTCCTACCAGCCAGTTGCGCTTTTGACTCTATATAGGAGCCAAAGTTGAGCGTGGGCGTCAGAGTTACACCAAGAAGCTCAAGACGATCGGCTATCGGTACGGATACATTCCGGAAAGTAGGAGTCAGCGGAAATTGACTCCGTTTGGCGGAGAATAGACACGCCTGGGTCTTGCTAGCATTGAACCTAACCAAGTTGGCGTCACCCCAGTCGGACACCGCCTTCAAGGTCGAGTTCAAACGTTCGACCATGGATTCTCTTAAAGACTGGATCTGTGTTCCGCTAGTCCGCGCACCGGACACATACCTTTCAACAACTGTGCTGTCATCTGCATACCCAAAGATACCGGGCTTAAGCAGGTCGTTTATGTGCAGCAAAAAGAGCGTCGCTGAAAGTACTGACCCCTGAGGGACGCCGGCATTAATACCGAATTGGTCAGACGAGCAGCCATCGATGACTACTCGTATTGACCGATCCCTCAGAAAGTCTGCTATCCATCTGCACAGACCAGTAGGAAGTCCATATGCAGGAAGCTTGCCGATTACTTTACGGGTTTGTCAGAAGTTCTTAAGGTAATTGGAATGATGTCGGGTTACAAATCTATTAGCTTAAGTCAATTATTTTTACGTGTTGTCTGTGAGTTTAATTA